CACGTGGTGCTGCCCTGTGCCTAGCAGGTGCGTTGCCAGGGCTGGCCAGCTGACAGGCAGGCTGGGGTCTGAGGTGTCCTCTGGTCCTGGCGGGCTGCCAGGTGGGCACATCTGCAGGGCCTGGCAGCATGTGCATGTGGCAGGCACTTGCTGGGTGCCGCTCGTGTCCTTCTGCTGGGGAGCCCCCTCCGGAACGGGACCCTCATCAAACCTGTCTCCCCTTCCTCCGGCTCCGCCACTCACCGGCCTCTTTCCCGACACCTCCTGAGTGCGTCATTTCTCCTCGTGTTGAGGCTCACGGGATGAGGTTGCCGAAGACGCAGGCTTGACGGTTTCTCGAGAGGGCAGAGAACTTTTAAGTCTTGGCCTCAGAGTTTTGTTCCAGGGAGGAAGTGGTACCAAATCTTCCTTCAGGACTTGGTTTCTTTCCTGCTCCCCTTCCTGAGATGAGTTTAAACGAGAGATTCATGGGGCTTGAAGGGGCGCTCTGCCCTCCCGGCTGCTCACCTCTGTGCCTTAGCTCAGACTTTCCCTTCTCGGGGGAGGCCTTTCCCTGCTCTAGATGCCCTGGCTCCTGCTTGGCCTTCAGTGCTCAGTACAGATGTCTCCTCCTCCAGGAAGTGTCCCTGATCACTTCAGCCTCCCTGTACTCTGTGCCAACCTGGTGAGGCGCAGCTGAGTGGGCCTGGACTTAGAGTCAGATAGCCCTGGGTTCAAGTCTAGGCCAGCACTCTTGGGCCTCAGTTTCCTACCTGCGCAGTGGGTCTGGTGAGGATACCATTAGCTGAGGGGTCACTGAGAGAATCCAATATCATCTGTCCCCAGAGTGCCTGGCCCCCAGGCGGCAGGAATGGCTGTTTCTCCATCACTGTCCCTGGGTTTCCATAAAAGCCTCACAATGACTCCCGCATCCTGTGTGACCCGTTCAGACTGAGAAAGGCTTGCGGATGCCCAGCTGGGGGGCTTCTGGCCAGTCCTTCATGGCAGTCATGAAAGAGCAGTCCAGTTTCTGGGCTCTGCCTCCAGGCCACGGTCTAATCTGTAAGATTTCTTCAGTGTAATTTATTACACACGAAGATTGCCATATGGCAAAGGCTTTATTTAAATTAATGTAGCATAAAAAGGTGGAATGTCACTTATTGGCCTCAGCAGCCAGGAGATGAGACAGCCTCAAAGCTAGTGACCTGGTCACTGGGTTTTAAGAATCAGAAACATTTTGCTGATGTGTGTAGAGATTTCTCCCTTCCTAGAGCAGTGTGGATGATTTTGGCAGGACAGGCCTGGGGGGCCACTTCTCTTCTAATGCACTGGGGGCAGCCAGAGGCAGGTGAACAAGCCTGGGTTTGGCGTGCTTTCTGAATGCCAGCTGTGCCCCTGACCAGCAGGGGCCATGGGCCGTGGCTTCCCTGACTCCTGCCCCAGGCCCCTCATCTGGAAAAAGAAAATCACCACTCCCCCAGAGGGGAGCTGTGTGGATCAGCTGACTGGTCCACCGTAGGAGCTCAGAGGATGCCAGGCCCTCTTACCAGGCCCCTAAATACTGTGTTCAGGCAAACTCCCTAACGTGTAAATTTCAATGGGTGACTCTTTTGGTCAAAATCTCATGACTTTAAGAATAAAGTCTTACCCTTCTGCTTGGCATTCATGTCTCTCCAGGATCTGGGCCCTGGGTTCCTGCTCTGTGCTCTTCGGTGTCCCCACCCACGAGGTGGGGGTGACGTGGGGCCCCAGCCTCTGCCCCACCTTCTCTCATCTCTGTCTCCAAACACGTCCTGGTTCCTGCCTAGGGATCGTCCCTGGGCAGACGGGCCCCGGTTCAGACTCCCCCCTGTGCAGTCAGCGTTCTAAGCTGCAAGGACCTGAAACCAACTCTGGCCGATTTGGCAGAGAAAGGGGAGTGAGTTACCGCCGAATCGCTGGCAGCCTGGCTGGGAGGCGGCTGGGGCCGTTCGCCCGGACCTGCGGGCAAACCCCGCTCAGAATGACGAGAGCAAGAGATTCGCAGTTCCCGCCACAAACTTCAGGCCAAAGGCAGGGCTGCCCAGGGTGGCGAATTCGGGGGCGCGTGGCACCTGGCTCTTCCGTTCTCTGCTCTGCCGGCATTCCTGGGGGTCACAAGGTAGATGGAAAATCATGTCCAGACGCAGAGGAGCCCCCCGTGAACGGGGTTAGGGGCAGTCACTCCTTGGGTGAAGGGGGTTTCCCAGTCTGCCCAGAGCCGCTCACTCCTCATTCTCATTGGCCAGAAGGTATCACATGCCTATGCACTGGCCAATCATTGGCAGGGATCTGGGCCAATCAGATGGCTTGTCTGCACAGGCAGGATGGTACAATGGTGCTGCCCCGTTGGAAACAGGCTTAGTGTGACCCCCTGAAGGTGGAGTTCACGTGCCTCAGGGCCCAGCAGCTCTCCACTCAGGGGGAGCCTGTTTGTAGCCACTTTGTAGCCGCTCTTTGCTCCCTCGCAGAGCGTGGAAGCCCCCCCAGTGCCGTCACGGAGCGTGGAGGAGGCAGCGAGCAATGTGCACCCAGGGGAGGGGCCCTGCAGCGCTGCAGCAGGCACAGGGACAGCCACAGGTCTGGGCGGACGGCCTCAGCAGCGCGGCGTCAGGCGGTATGGCTAAGATTGTGCGTGTAGAGGCAGTTACAAATCTAAAAACACATGAAACACGTACCTTTTGGCAATGCCTGACAATGACGTAAGTCTATGAAAGCAGTAAATGGTGCAGCCCAGCTCAGACGGGGTTACCTTCGTGAGAACTGCGTCCCTGCCATGCGGTCAGGGTGAGGATATAGTGCGGCAGGGAGGGTGAGTGCTGTGGGTCGGAGCCGGGTCTGCAGATGCCACCTCTGTCCCTCCATCTGGGGCGGGGCCTGGCTCTTGGAGCCCCGCCTCTCCACGGCCCCGCCCACCTCTGATCTCCACACCGCTGAGCTGTGGCTGCTCCTCCTTGTCCCCTCCTCTGTGTCAGCCCCGCCAGGCCTCCCTGCTGGGCCTCGCCCCCTCTGCCCTGCCTCTCCTGGGCAGCACCCTGCAGCCTTTCGAGAACTCTGCCTGGAGGGGCCTCCTTTCCTCCACTGACAAACCCCTACTCATCCTTTGCAGCTCAGCTCAAAGGTCAGAACTCTGTGACATCATCACCAGCTCTGCAAAGCCCCAGGGAGGTGTTGGTGGGTTCCTGGGAGAGGGGGCAGCAGGCACAAAGGCCCTGGGGCAGGAGTGTGCCAGCACCGTTTCTGGAGCAGCAAGGAGGCCAGTGCAGCCAGAGCAGAGGGGTCAAGGGGAGAGAGGGAGAGAGGTGGAAGTGTGTGGCCCAGAGGATGAGGTTTGGACAGAGCAGGTTGTGGGGTCTTTAAGGATGTGGCTTGTGCACTGCCTGTGAGGGGAGGGGCAGTTCTGGCTTCTGTTCCGAGGCGTCCTTCAGCTGCTGAGCTGGGAGCAGACTGTCAGGGGCTGTTAAGGGGTGAGGATGAAGTCATGCCTAAGTCTGGTGATCATTGCCTTGCGGGGCTGGGCCCCACGTCCTCTCCAGTCACATCCTGCCCTGTCCTCACTGCCCCTCAGTATCTCTGCATGCTCACCCTTCACCCCAGTGACATCCACTTACCTTTGCTCCTGGTCTTATCCACCTGGTGAACTTCAGCCTCTGAAGTTGGCATTTGGGGCTGGATAACTCTGTGGTGATGGCCATCCTGTGCCCTGAAGAACCTTTAGCACATCCCTGCCCTCCACCCATTAGATGCCACTAGCACCCCACCCCCAAGGCTATGAAAACCAAAAACATCTCCAGACATTGCCAAATCTCCCGTGGGAACCAAGACTACCCCTGGTTGAGAACCGCCCCCCTGGCATGTCAGCCCCACGGTGTCTGGGAGTGTAGCCTGCTTTGTTCCCTGCAGCGGCTGCTCCCAAGGACAGGTCCCTGCAGTGGGGCCGTGTCGTCCCATCTCCCAGGTGGGGGGGGTGAGGCTCAGGAGAGCAGAGCACCTGCCTAGGTGAGAGAGAGGGTGGGGTGTGCTGGGACAGCTTTGCTGACCTATCAGCATCCTGGGTCCCAGTGCAGGCACAGCCTCCAGCGGGCCGATGTCAGGCAGAGGGGCCGCAGGAAATGTGCCTGTGCAGTGAATGCACCAGTGTCCTCTCCGTTCCCCCACTGACACCAGGTGGCAGATGGCCAAGATCAGCAAAATAATGGGTAAAGAGCCACATCAAGATATTATTCAGCCGCAAGAAAGCTGTTTGCCGCACGTGGCTGGGCTTGGAGGGCATCACACCGAGTGAGGCAAGCCAGACACAGAGGCAGATACTGCCTGGTATCATGTGGAATCTAAAAAACAGTCACGCTCATGGAAACAGGAGAAAAGTGGTTGCCAGGGGTCAGGGGTGGCGAGGTAGGGGGAGGTCGGTCAAAGGACACAGACTTCCCGCTGTGAGGTGGACATGCCTGAGGACCTACCGTCAAACGTGGAGCCTGTGGTTGGCAGCCTGTACTGGGTGGCCGGGATTTCTGGGAGAGCAGGCTAAAAGTCCTCACCAGAAAAGAAAAAGATAACTGTGCGAGGTGCTGGATGTGTTAGTTAGCTAGATGGGGGAATCTTTTCACAAGAGATGCAGATACCAAATCATTACCATGTACACTTTAAATATCTCACGTTTTTGTCAATTATACCTCAATAAAACTGAAAAAACCCCACATCAACTGGCGATTTTTGGGAGGAAGGCTGGTGTGGAAACCTAGGGGAGGGCTTTGACCCCTGGCCTCTGTAGGCAGTGTGTGGGGCGTGTCAACCTGCCTGACTCAGTACCAAGCCCTCTGCACCCACTTGATGCCCTGGGCCCCTGAGAATGCCACTTGATGCTCGAGGGGCTGGTAGACCTGGGGGACCAGGCCCTGGGGGATGGGCGGCTGTCATTCTGAATCATCTAGGGCGTGATTTGAAATTAATATCCTGACTGAATAGAAAATGGATATGAATTTCATATTTTGTTACTCTTGCAGGCCCAGCTGTGTCTGCCGGGCAGGGTGGGGACTGCTGCCGGCTCGCTGCAGACACCCATCTGCTCTGGCCTGCAGCCCTGCTCACTCTCTCCTTGGAGGAAAACAGCCCTGCTGTTTGGACATTCCACCTGCAGGTAAACAACCAAATAGAGCCATGAAATGTCTGGGCTGCACCTCGCCGAGTGAAGGTAGAATGGGAACTTCTGAACTGGGCTGGCCTGAGCAACAGGTCCACACTGCCTGCATTCCAGAGCAGCCCAGGTCCAGCCACACAGAGGCTCTGGGGAGAGGGGAGGAGGTGTGCACTGGCTGGGCGGGGCGGTGCACTAGGAAGTGCAGTGTGAGCCTGTGGGCCACCAGCCTCAGGGTGAGGGGGTGCGAGATGCCTGGCAGAGGCTCTCTGAGCCCCCATCTCAGGGTTGGCATGGCTGTGCCATGGCGGCAGCACTCCCAGTGTGGCCCCCACTCTTCTCTTCCTGGGCTGCCCCTGGCTGCCGGGGGACATGGCTGTGGCGGCGTCTCCACCTCCTGCCATGACCTCCATCCCTTCTCCACCCAGCCCCATGCAGAAAACCAGGCCCCTCCCACACTCAGTGACATTTGGTGGCTCCCTATTGTCCCAGAGGCACTATGGCACAGGCTTGGGTGTCCAGTCCTGGCTTAATCAGTGCATTAGCCGAGGGCCCTTGGGTAAGTCTCTTAGCACCTTGTGCCTCAGTTTCTTCATCTGTGCAGACGGTTAGAGTGCCCCCCTCACAGGGTTGTTGAGGGTCAGGCAAACCTGTGTGTGGCACTCAGGCACTGCTGGGCATGCCCTGGGGCTGCCCACCTCCCAGAGCCGTCCTGGCCCCCGCCTTTCCCCACGCTCAGTGACTGCTTCCCTAGCCAGCCTTTGCACATGGTATCCCCCTGGCATTCTCTGTCCCGGGAAAAGCGGGCCCTTCGAGCATGGCCCCCGGGCTGGGTGCCCTGCCGCGTGTATCTTTGAGATGGTGGAAGGCGCTGGGCTGTGTTCACTTAACCGTCTTTGCTCCCATGTGTGGAGCCTGGCCTTGAGCTGGGGCCTGGGGGATGTTTGGGGGCTGGAGGCCCTTCTACTGTTTGCTGAGTCTTCTTGTCCCCTCCAGCCCAGCTCAGCCCTGCTCCCCATCTTCAAGGGGCACCCCCTGAGAGTGGGGTGGTGCTGAGCCTCCTGGAAGCCCCCTGGCACTCCCACCCCAAAGCCTGGGCGAATTTGGCCAGGAACCTGTAGGTAGGGCTCCTCCGTGTGGGCCTTGCTTCCTGGGCTCAAGGGTGGGGCAGGGCATCCTCTTGGGGTCCAGATGTGGCTCCAAGCACTGCCCTGGGCTCTGCTGTGAGTGCAGCCCCCCAGTGTCACATGACTGAGCGCGAGCATCTTTATTATGGTTATCGGGCATTTGGTGCACATGAGCAGGGTTGCCTCTGAAGTATTGTTTGGTGGTGTCTCGTGGGTTCCGTGAAGCAGGGCCCAGCACTAGGGGCTGGCTGTCCCCTGTGTGTGCACTGCACCCACCGGTGCAGGCTCACCATAGATGCTCATTCATGAATACATGAAGAGGTCAAGGGCATTTCCCAAAAGTTGCCTTGTTTGAGACTTAACATGCCCCAGGGTAGGTCAGGATCTAGCCATGTGCCCTCCCTCCATGATGTTTGGGCCCCAGGCAGGTGCACGGTTGGCACCTGGGAGTCTTCCGAGCCAAAATATCTGGACCTGGCATGTGGGTAAAGCTGGCTCAATGTGGCACCGACCCCCCCCCCCTCAGATCCTGCCTGTGGGCTGGCGCTGCTGGCCTCAGGGCCCGTGACATGTCTGCAGCCATGTCCCTCAAAGATACGACCTCAGGACACAGAATAGCCATGACCTGGCTCATGGCTCAGCACCTCCCTTGAGGCTCTAGCCACCTGACAGCCAGGCACCACACTGGGGCTCCGGGGGGGTGGCTGCCGGGGGAGCCGCGGCTGCTGGCCCCCTGGGTGCCTCCCAGGCCCCAGCACTTTGCTATGGCTGACTTGAGGGGCCTCCTGAACCCTTCCTCGGGCTGTCTCCATTTATCAGCCTCTTCTGACGGGCTGGCCACAGCCTCATTGCCCTCCTTTCCCTGTTTCCCTCTGTGGCTCCGTCTCCTCCCTGCCTTCCTTTCCAGGCTTTCCAGGGAGGCCAAGGGAAGTTGTTTTTATTAATGGTCATAACAACAGTGACTCCTTGAGGGCCCACTGTGCACTTTTTACAGATCATCTGTTTCATCCCCTGACAGATCTCCAGGGTGACATGAGCATGGCCACACTATTTACAGCACAGAACCAGAGAGGTTGAGGGGCCATCTGATGTCATACAGCTGGGGTGGGGAGTGGGGTGGGTGTGCTGGGGTTTGAACCCAGGTGGCCTGGCTCTGCAGTCTCTGCTCTTCCGCCTCTACATTGCTTTTCTGAAACTGCCTTATTACCAGGGGGAGCCTGTGGTGACATGACTGGAGGGCAGAGTCCTCCACCCATTTCAGCAGGTGTTCCCAAGAGCCTGGGCACTGGGGACAGGGATGATAACTGTCAAAACATTTTATTTGTGTGTATTAATTAATCTTCTAAAGTAAGATGCATCTAAGTTCAGTGCTATTATTAACCCGAGTTTACAAGTGAAACAGGCATGGGGCGTTAGGCCACTTGCTTAAGGTCACACAGCAAGTAAACGGGGAAGACAGGGTTTGGGCCTGGCTGTCTCCTCCTGGGGGATGTCTGCAGTCTGTATGGGGAGACAACAGGGGTCTGGCCATCACGGGGTGCTGTGGATCCCCAGGAGCACTGAGGAATCTGAACCCAGGTGGAGCCTGGCAGGCCGACATGTGGAGGGGTGGCCATCCCAGGAAATGCGAGAGGAAACCTCCGTGTGGGGGGCCCTGGGGATGTCTGCGGTCATGCCTTGCTGCTACTGAGCTGGCCACTCAGGGTGCAGCATGAATGGGCTCTTCTGCGACCAGGGCAATGGGGAGGGGAGGCCCAGCTGCCAATGAGCTGGTGCTGAGGCCCTGGGCATGGTGCCCTCCATTCCCCTGTGGGCCACCTGGTGCCCAGGTGTGGTGTTCTGGGATGCCTGAAACCCCTTCTGCTGGATGGAGCCCGGGTCTGAGGCCAAGTGGGTGGCTAAGCCCATGACAGCCCCACCCCAGCACCTTGGCCAGACGCAGGGCTTTCCCAGGGTTTTGTCCCCCTCGCTCCAGCTACCACAGATTCTCTCCATCACCTCTCCTGCTGGAATTTAGATTGGCCATTGGAGGCCTTATTTCACTGAACCATTTAAAAGTCATTCTTAAGTGCTCATGTGATTTCTTCGTTCATCTGCCCTCATTATCCTCTGTGCACTTCCGGGGCTCTGCTCTGAAGAGAAAGACAGGGAAGAAGAGTTCAGTGGTGGGGAGAAAGTATTTGTGGGGGTGGCAGGGTGAGGGGGTCTACATCTGAGGAGGGGCAGAGCATTTGGGACTGTGCGTTCAGTGTATCTGTACATCAGGGCTTCAGGCTGGAGAAACCCATGGGAATGGGTGGGGAGGGCTGGTGTCCCCACTGTACAGAAACATCCACGTGCCTAGAACCTGTGTTACTGTTTATCCAGTAAGGCCACATTACTGGGACATCTCCCACACATCCTGTCCTCTGTGACCACTGACCCTGCCCCCTAGCTCAGTGCCTTGGTATAGGTCAGTGTTTTCCCAAGCATCACACACATTCTACTGGTTGCACAGGACATTGGGCCCAACATATCAACTTCAGGGACACAGGGGAACTGTTTGGAGTGATGGAAATGTTCTCTGTCCTGGTTATGGTGGTGGTTACATGGTATGTGCATTTGTTAAAACACATAGAATTGTTCACTAAAAAGAGTAAGTTTAACTATGTGTAGTTTACCTCAGTGAGAAATATCTTTCCATTAAAATCTTGCACGTATTAGATTTACTTCACTGTAGTTAGTATTTCTTGTTGATATTTTGTATCTTAAAAATTACATCTTTTTAAAATTACATTTTCTGTTTGTTGCTAGTGCATAGAAATATAATTGCTTTTTCTATGTAGTGCTTAAGCCAAAAAATCTTTTATTAATTCTATTAGTACTTCTAATGATTTGATTGTAGATCTCTTTTGGATTTTCTATGTAGGCATGTTGTTTGTGTATAATGAGAGTTTATTACTTTCTTGTACTTTTTTCTTGCCCTATTGCACTAGCTAGCACCTCTAATACAATGTCAAATAGAAGCAGAGAGAATGGACTTTTTGTCTTGATCATTGTCAGAGAGAATGCTTCTAAAGTTTTCACCTAGGAAGGATTACATTTGTTACCACAAAGGTAGATATACTTTTTCAAGTTAAGAACATGCCTGTCTGTTTCTAGCTTACTGACATTTTTTGTTTTGTTTTATTTTGTTTTAAATCATCTTGCTGAATTTTATCAAAACCTTTTTCTGCATCAAGAGGATCGTGTTCCCTTCAATCCGATAGTGCGCTGAGGCACACGTACAGATTCCGATGCGAACTCGTCTGGCACTCCCAGGAAAAGTCCATCTTGGTCCTGATGTACTTACATTTTACTTTGTATCAAAGGCTGGATTCTGCTTGCTAATATTTTGTTTATGATTTTTCATCTTTGTTTATGAGTGAGATAAATTGAATTTTTCTTCCTCATGTGGTTTGTTTCTGGGTTTGGCATCAATGTTATACCAGTCTCATGGAATGGAAGAATTTGGATAAGACTGGAATGATCTAGGCTTGGAGCTTTCTTTATGGGAAGCTGTTAATTCTTATATGTTTTAAGTAGTGGGGCTCTTTGAATTTTGAATTTGTTCCTCAGTAAGTTCAATTATTATAGTTATTTTTAGGAATTTGTCTATTTCATTGTAAATTTAAAATGTATTGTCATAAGGTTCTCATTATATTATTTTATTAGTATTTTCATCTGAAACATATCTATTTTCATGCCCATTTTTTATCCCAAATATTGCTTATTTATATATTCTCCCTTTTTTCTCCATTGTCCTTGCCAGAGATTAGCATACATACTTCATTAGTTATCCCAAAGAACAGACATCAGCCGTGCTGAGCATTTCTATTGTTTGTTTTTTGTTTCATCCATTTACCATCTTCATTCTATTTTCTTTATGCTTATCCAATTTTTATTTTTATGTCTTAAGTTGGATGTTTAGCTCACTCATTTTCACCCTTTCTTTTCCAGTATAAAATATTAATGCTACAAATTTCCTTCTAAGAACAACTTTTGCTGTACTTGGCGTGTTGGGATATGTCACCTTTTCATTACTGTGTGATTCTAGGAATTAAAAACACATATACATTTTTTTCCCCTGACCCGGGATGAACTTTTTTTCCTGAACGAGAGAAACGGGGGAAATGGAGTCATTACGCAGGAAATGCAGGTCCTGTCAGGGCCCTTAGGAGGCCCCAGAGAGGGCGTGTCTGCTTTGTTTGATGTTCTAGTTGGCTTTAACGTGATACTGGGAAGGCGCAAGTTGCAGAATTATGCTTTACACTGTAATTATACATTTCAAAAAACACAGAACATTTCTCTACTGTCTTTATGGACCCATAACTAGTGAAAGTGAAAACACAGGATGATAATGTACTAAGGTCCCCAGGATTGTTGCCCTGGGAGGGGGAGTATGGGGGAGGCCTGCGTCTTACAGTCAAAAGATCTCCAGCACTAACAATAAGAACTGTAAGAGACTTTTTAAGAACTATAAGAATGTTCTTGAACTGTAAGGAAAAGCTTTCATCTATTGACTCTGAGTGGAGAGAACCCGCGGTGCACCCCTTGCTCCGCCCACGGCCGGAAGTCCTCACAATCACAACCCCGTGGGAGTCGGAGCACCGTGAGAATAAGGACGCAGCTCGAGGCCAGGCCCCCAAGATGCTCCCTGCGGGGACCTGAGCCGCTGCAGATGCGGCCACCACCCAGCGTGGCAGCTGAACTAAAAAGCTTGGCAGGTGATTTGTCCCCGTGTTTCTCAAAAGCCTTCCTATTTAGCTTAGGAATTCCACTTTGGAGAATTAATGGAGAAAAAAGAGTTTGGACAAAGAAATAAATAGGTGAGACGTTGTTTATCAAAATCATTTACAATAGTCAATATTTGGAAATAGTAGAAGATAATAAATAAATTATCATTTATTTAAGTGCCAGAAGGTTTCGAGTAGACTTTGAGTAAAGCGGATGACCCTCCGTAATGCCCTGCCAGTTAGAGGCTTTCGCAGAAAGGACTGACGTTCCCAATGAGGAAGAGGGGACCCTGCGGCAGAGGCCTCCAGACTGCAGCGGCATCGCCAGGTCAGCTGCTCCGGGCGCGCCCGCCTGCCAGCCCCACAATCTCGTGGGCCAGTCTCTGCGCGCGCACACAGACGCGCATTCTGATTCCGTGTCTCTGCAGAATCTTTTGCGGTCCGGGTCCAAGAACCAGCTGTCACCTCGGTTGGGACCCGAGTCCTGTGTCCCGCCTTGGACGCGTTACTCTGGACAACAAGAGCCTGGTTTCCTTCCCGGCGCACGGGAGGGCCTCATGTTCTCCGGCGTCCAGAGCGTGGCTGCCGGGCCCCGCCTCTTGGGGGGCGTCTCTCCGCTCCCTGCCAGGGAGCCCCACCTTGGTGTTGAGAGCTGCTCTTTACTTTCAAACCACATGTTCATCTGGCCGCCTTTCTCAGCCCTAAGTGGCACTTCTCAGTCCTGGCATTCCTCTGCTCCATGCCCCTCGGTCCTGGCACGTTTACCCCCCTGGCTATCTGGAGTTGGTTTTTCTAATCTCCTCTCATAAAGCAAAATCCCTGCTTGACTCATATTTGTCCCCCAGAGCGGTCTTCTCACTCCTCCCATGTGGGTAACAATACTGCCTGTCCCCCGTTTCCTACCGGAATGGAGAGTGATTATCTTCCTTTCTCGGCGGGGAGTGAGGGCGGTCATGCTGCGTGTCCAAGCAGGTCCGCGCGGGACTGGGGGCTCAGCGGTGCGGGGTCCGTCTCCCAGCACCCAGCTCCCCGGGTCCTTGGCCAGTCAGGGACCGTGTGTATCACAGCCGGAGCTCTCTGCCCGGCCAAGGCCACGCCTCCAGCTGCCATGCTCGTGAAAAGTGGTGCCAGTGTCCCCACTGCCCCTTGGCCTCACGCACCCACCTTAACTGGTGCGTTCTCCTGCTCAGGTAGCTCCGGTCTTGGTGGCACCCTTCCTGCAGCTGCTCAGGGCCAGGCCCCCACCGTCTCATACACCCTCTCGTGCCTGGATCCTCAGAGCTGCGTCCACCTGTAATCTCCCACACCCCAGGGCATCCTTCACACTTGAGCGAGAGCAGTTCCTCTCACATGCACATCGACTATGCCAGGTCTGTTCAAAAGCCCCCTTCACTCCGGCCTGGCCCTTGCCTGCCACTGAAGGACCGTCTTTGCCGTGCTCACCTGTGCGCCCCTGCCTGGCTGGATCCAGCCCCGGTGCTTCTGGGGGGCTGCCCCTCTTGCTCCTCTGGGCCTTTGCATGTAATACTTCTTTTCCTGTTCAAGTTCCTACTTTTAATAAAATAATAGCAATAATGACAATGATCGCCAATTTCATGGCCCTATCCCCTAGGCCCGCAGGCTGTGCTAAGTGAGCACTTTGCATTCATCCCATCTCACCGCCCTCGACCCCACGGGACAGGGGCAGCGCTCCACCCGGCCCCACCTTACAGGTGAGAAAACGAGGCTCAGAGGGTCATGTGAATGGACCTTGGTCCTGGAGCTGGTGTAAGGGACAGCCACAATGCAGACCAGGTCCACTCCATAGCCAGCACGCTCAGGGAGCTGCCCTGACCCCGAGGCCTGGGTCCGCGGGGCCCCACGAGCTTCCTCCCTTCCCACGCCTGTGTGCCTCTCTCACTTCCCCTGTGAGCTCCTTGATCCCCAGGACCAGCCGCAGAGCCTGGCACATTGTTGGCACTCGGGGAACCCTTGTTGGCAGAACCAGCCGGACTCGGCCCAGCTGACGGCGGCTGTTTGGTGCCTTAGTGGTGCTGGACCTCATCAGCCTCACGGAGGGAGGGCTCACTGACCGTGTGAGCCGTCTGCGGTGTGCAGGGCCATGGTAGGGTCAGCAGCACCGATGCGCTGCAGTGACAAATAGCCCGGCCCACCGTGGGTCCAGTGAGTACGGTCCACTGAGGAAGTCCCCGCTGGGTGGTGCCCCGAGCAGTGGCCTAGAAGCCGGCCACCTCCTGTCAGCATGTCCCACCATCTTTCAAGGACGAGGAAGCTGGGAGGCGGTCCCTCTGGCTGTTCTCTGGCCAGGCATGGGCGGTGCCCGCACCCCCCCCCCCACATTCCCCTGCCAGAGCCCAGTGGCAGGGCAGAGAGGGAGATGGTGGACGGGATACGGGTGGACACAAGCCTTCTCTAATGCAGGAGAGTATTCCGAGCCCTGGATGCAAGCTTCTGTCATAAGATGTCCAGTTCTGTCCCCACCCTGCTGAAGGAATCCAGATGCTTGGTGTTATGGCCGAGTTCTGCGTCCCCAAATCCATGTGCAGAGGCCCTTACCTCCAGGACCTCTGAATGTGGCTGCATTTGGAGGTGGGGTCTTTAAAGAGGTGATTAGGGTAAAATGAGGTCACTAGGTGGGCCCCGGGTCCAGTATGACTGGTGTCCTTGTGAGAAGAGGGAATTAGGCCACCGACATGGCCAGCTGGACAACCACATGAGGACCCAGGGAGGAGAGAGGCTCAGGGGAGCCAGCCCGCCCATGCCTCGGGCCTGGACTTCCAGCCTCCTGCTGCGTAGGCCCCTGGCCTGTGGGGCTTTGTCACGGTGGTCCCAGCAAAGTGAGGCATTCAGTCTGTCAGGTAAGAGGCACGGTTCTTGCCGTACCCCGGAGCCACCCCCTTCCACGTGAGCCAGAGCTGAATCACTGGGTCGGGAAGCAGCGGCCCCCACCCCCTTTGAAAGGCGAACAGTTTCCACCCAGGGCCTGGCTGCACTCATTGGAACTGAACTGACTGCACATGCCCGCAGCAGCTTGTGAGGGAGGCAGGGTGCTGTCTGTGCAGAAGGGCTCAGAGAGGCTGAGCAACCTGCCAGTGCACATGGCCCACAGCCATGTGGGCAAAGCCCAGGTACAAGCCCCCTGGACACGCTCTGCTGGGGCGACAGGCCTGGGGCTGGGCCCTGACCCTGCTCCCTGGTCAGCTCCGTGTCCTCACACAGAGGCACTTCTGAGCGTCACCTTCATCCAGAACTGTGGGGACACTGCCCAGGGAACAGTGATGGACATGGCATGTCCCTGTTGCAAGGTTCATGTCATTTCCACAGTCACAGTCTGCTCACGGCCATGCTGCTGCCCTCCGAGGCATTCTGGACCTTTCTGGAGCCAGTCAAGATCCCAGACTATGTTGTGGAGGTGGGGAAAGAACTGGTAGCACGGCTGGCCAGCATCCTTGGGGGCAGAGGCAAGGCTGGCATGGGGGGTTGGCGTCTGGGCACAGGGACCTCCATGCACATATTCTACCTGCCACAGAGAGCTCGGCCTGGCTCTCTGCACCCACTGGGATCTCTAGCCCCTGCCCAGCCCACAGCCCCCATAGCACATTCTCTCTGCTGTCCTGCGCTGTCAATTCAAGTTCAGATGCATTCAGCGGCTCGCCAGCACGCAGGGGGACACGGCTTGTTGAAGAAACGGGTGGGTGGATGCCCCCCTGGGCCGCGCTACGTGTCATTGCTCCCGTCTGCGATCCGAGCTTTGGCTGAGTGGGAGCAGTATGAAAATTTCGTTTAATTATGAAGACCCTGTGTGTGCCAGGTGGGAGGCGAGTGTCAAAGTGAACACAGCACATGCTGGTTACAGTGGCAAGGGCAGGTTTGATTCATAACAGCTCCTGTCATAGGGAGAGGAGTCCATGTGCAAAATGATGAAATGCAAAAGGTGAAATCCCAAGAGGCCTCAGGTTGGCTAA